GAGAGAGAGAGAGAAAGAGAGAGAGAGAGACCTAGTGTGCTGAGTGAGTCGAGATGAGGGCAGAGGCCACAGCGGTTGGGATGGGGTGGGTAGGGTGGGATGAGAAGGGGGGGGAGGGCACGCCTGATGCACGGGACACAGACACGCAGGGGCGAGAGAAGAGTCGGAGACGGGACTGGGCGTTCTTCCCCTTACCGTGTCTTTGGAGGACCTACGTCTCTTGAAGCTGGAAGCCAGGGTGGAGGTGATAGCCCTAAATGTGGCTTTCTTTTTAGGGTCGGGCTCTGCTCTACCACTCTTTCTATCCTAAAATGAATATGTATAAGCGATTAGACAGCTAAGGGGGACGGCCACACCTGCCCTCGCCTGCTCCTTGGGGGCCGCTGGCCGGCCGCTCAGGCCCTGCTCCTGCCTGCCTCCTTGCACCGGGCCACCGGACCCAGGGCCGGACCCGCGCAGGCGGCCTCAGCTCCTGCCCGGGTCGGGCCTGACCTTCCTCGTGCTGGGGCTAGACTTGGGGGGTCCCGTGTGGCTCTCTTCCTGGGAGGTCGCCTGGCTCCCTGGCTCTCAGGTGTCCCAGGAGGAGGGGCCCGCGGAGCACGGGAGGACCTGCCCCTCAGGCTCGCCGGCCATCCTGACCCCCGAGGGCCCAGCAAGATTCAGGAAGGGGCCGCGGGGCCAAAGGTGGGCGTCCAGATGGATTGGAGCGATAGACAGAGGCAGCTCCCGGGACCCTGGCCTCGGGTCTGATGGCCAGGCTGGCCCTGTGCCCGCCAGTAAGAGCAGCAACCGGGTCCTAAGAGCAAGAGGGGGCAGATGAGAGGTGGAGGGGCTCCAGCAACCACCCCCAAGGCCCTCCCTCTCTGCTCTGCCAGCTTCACCCCAGGACACAGACTCTGGAGAGGCACCCAGAGAAAGAGAAGAGATGCACAGACTGACCTTGGACCGTGGGCAGGAGCCACAGCCTCTGCCAGCCCCACTGCCTGCCCCGCCCCAGGTGGGCATGGCTGCCCCTCACGCAGCCTGCCCCCTGCTGGCAGCAAACTCCCACAGACGCGGCCTGGTCAAAAGCGGGGCCAGCTGGACCCCTATGGAGCACAGGACATAGCAGGCAGCAGGAAGGAGGCCCGGGGTGCTGAGGAGGGGTGCGGGCGGCGAGGGCGGCGAGGGCAGATGCGTCTTAGACTCACGTGCTACACCCAGGTGGGCCCTGTCTTACCCTGCCTCAGTTTGCCTTCCTATGGGATGGGCGCTGGCGGGCGACTCTGGAGACAGAGAGGCCAGGCAGAGGCTTGGAGCAGGGCACATGGCCTCCCTCGGCCTGGCTTGGCAGTGGGCAGCCACCTGCAGGTGGCCCCCTACCGACGCTGCCCCTGGCTGTGGCTCCTAGCTCCAGGCCTGCTCCCACGGGCTCCGGGAGCCAGGGCCAGCGCGCCGGCCTGTGGGGATGGAGGAGGGCTGGGGCCGGGCTGGGCCGTGGGCACCAGGCCTCGGGGGGTGGCCGCCCTACCTGCAGGTTCTTTCTCCACACGTTCACCGCGGCGAAGGCCAGCTGCATCTGCTTCCGGCGCGCGTCCTTGTGTCGCTTGTAAGCGATTTCGATGAAGATGAGGAAGATCCCCGCCACGATGCCCCCGGCCACGAGCATGAAGACCCCTGTGGGCCAGGCCCGGCGCCTCAGTGTTGGCTGGCTGGGCTGCGCCCGGGGGGGACCCCCTCCAGTGTCTCCAGGGGCGCTGAGGGGAAGCGGGGAGACCCACCTGCCATGTTCTCGAAGGTGAGAGTAGCAGGGGCATTGCTGCGCGAGTCACACTCCTGGTACCGCACCCAGGTCTTGTCCAGGTCCTCCATGAAGCCGTTCTCATGGGACCTGGTGGGCGGGCAGCAGTGGGGCTGGAGCTTGCCCTCCCCTGCCTGCCTGATCTTGTCCCCAACAGCCCTCCCCTGCTGGCCTGATCTTGTCCCTAACTATGCCTGGGCGAGGTGAGGCGGGGCCTGGGCGGGGCCGCCTCTGCTCGGGGGTCCAGAGGGGGCACTCTCCGAGAGCGAGGAGGGCGCAGGCGAGGCTGACTCACTTGAGGATGGACAGGGAGACGTTCTGCTTCCAGGGGCTGTCCTTGCGCATCCCGATGCCGAAGCCGGAGCGGAAGAACAGCTCGCCCGTGGTCACCAGGTCGCACTTCTGCGAGGCCTCGAACTCCAGCACCGCCGAGTCCCAGATGAAGGCGTGCAGTTTGCTGCAGACAGGGGCGGGCGTCATGGGAGCTCCGCACAGTCGGGCGACCCTCGACCCGCACGATTGCATGCCTTCCCGCCAACCTGGGCCTCCTATCTGTCCCCACCCCATGGTTCCCACCCGCTGGGACCCTCGCTTTTCCTTTAAGGGTGGACGCCTGCTGGTCCAGTCCGCCCCCACGTGTCCCGCACGGCCCCGCCCCTCACTTGTCCCGCACGGCCTGGATGGCCTCGGCCGCGCTCTCGTAGTTGTGCTTCTCCATGTGCCGGTACATGGTGCTCAGCTCCACCTGCCGCCGGAAGTAGATGTCCACCGAGCTCTGCTTCACCGTCGCGTAGA